ACCAATGCTATAAAAATAGGAAGTGCCTGGGCATGGTGGTGCACGCTTGTGATCCCAGCATTTGGGAGGCTGAGGGCAGAGGATTGCCACAAATTCAAAGGCCAGCCTGGACTCCATAGCAAGTTCAAGGCCAGCCTGAACTACATGGCAAGACCCTATCTCAAAAAAACACAAAAATAAGTAAATAAAATAAGTAATAAAAAGAGGAAGTAACATACAGGCAGCAGTATATTCACTTATTATGAGTAGCCCTTAGGAAAGCTCTAGAGTAAGTGAAGGTAAAATGTAAGAACTGGAGAAGCCTCAGAGGATCTGGTCTCCATTCACCCTTGAGGGATCTCTTTACAGATAGGAAAAGGAAATCCCAGAGAACAGCATCAAACTAATAGCAGGGAGGGCCTGGGATTTAGCTCAGTGGTTTTGCCGCCTGTTGCGCAAGCGCAAGGACCCGAGTTCGATCCCCGGTACCAAAAAACAAACAAACAATAGCAGGGCTAATTCAAGGAGACCTTGATTAATTGGAGATTCAGGGAAACAGTGCTCAATCAAGTTTTGGAAAGTTGTGAAGAAACCAATATTTATTGTTCTGTTAAACTAAATTTTCACTGTGAGACAGGAAGGTAGGGCGTGGCTAAAACTCTCTGGGAAAGGAGGCGTGACAAGATCCCAACACATGCGCAGAACAGTTCCGAAAGCCCTGCTTGTGGATATCTCGCGATAACTCGAGCAGATTTTTTTTGGATAGGATGGCCCAGTCAGCCGGAGGAGTGGGTGGCACGGAAAGGAGAATCCACGCTGAGTTTTTCCCTCTGTAGTTTTTCTTTCACAGTGGCCCACCCTCATGCTGTAGGTTGTACTTTTCCTACTTTTATTTGGCCCAAACTCACTGGGCAGAGCCTGTTTCTTTTCCTACCTTTAATAAAACTTTGTTACCATTTGTGCTTGTTTTAACCTATTCTTTGCTCAGGACAGAATGAATTTAGGAACCACCTCCAGAAAGGAGACTCCAGCACCCCCAAACCTGGTAACAACTGAAGGGTAAATCTTAACACCTATGTAGAAAGAGCCTTGTGTGGTTGATTTTGGGAGCTGGGGGTTGAGGGCAGGGTCATGATCTGGCTAGACCAGAGAAAGGAAGAGAGGGGAGGCGGAGGTAGGCAGGAGTCATTGGAGGTTCTTTCTTGAGCTGTGAAGTGACCAGCGAGGAGGACAAGGGTCAGAAGGGTCACAAAAGGAAAATGTGTAAGGCCCAGGTGACAGGTTAAATGGCTCCCCAAGGCAATCAAATCCACATTCGCTAGGTAGGGCTGCCCTATCCTTGGAAGTTACTTGGGGTGTGGCAGTGCTTGTGTTCAAGCAATGCCTATGTCTTTCACCGCCCGTCATCCCCAGGAGCGCATCACTAGAAAAGGGTGGGGCCGGGGATTTAGCTCAGTGGTTCCACCGCCTGCCTCAAAAGCGCAAGGTCCCGAGTTGGATCCCCGTACCAAAAAATAAAATAAAATAAAGGGTGGGGACAGTACATTAAGATATTTTGCCAGCTGGACCGGGGTTTTAGCTCAGTGGTTCGAAGCGTTAGGTCCTGAGTTCGATCCCGATGCCAAAACAACAACAACAACAACAAGAAAGATACTTTGCCAGCCTGAGGCCAGGAGGATTGCAAGTTCAAGGCCAGCCTAGACAATGTATGGGACTCTGTCTCCAAAAAAAAAGCGGGGGTTAGGGATATATGTAGTGGTAGAGCACTAAATTATAAATATTAAAATTATATTCATGTTTTCAAAAGTTTCTTCTCAAAATTACAAATTATTAAAATTAAAACACAAAAGGTCAAGTTATAATTAACAAAAAACGTCTTACATAAAAATATTTAATATGAAAATTTTTATTTAATTATTGACTGTTCTTATTAACATTTTTATAAAAAATAAAACTATTCTCAAATTGTCTCAGTCCATTAGGGTCACCATTAAAAAAAATACAATGGGTAACTTTAAAACAACAGAAATTTATTACTCATAATCCTGGTGGCTGAAGTTCCAAGGTCAAGGTGCTAGAGGGTTTAGGATTTCTTCCTCAGAGATGGAACCTTCTAGCTGTGTCTTCACCTGGTGGAAGGAGTGAATGAACTCCCTGGGGTCTCTAATGTAAGGGAAGTAATCTCATTTATAAGCGTTTGGCCCTCATGACCTAATCATTTCTTAAAGGCTCCACTTCTTAATTTACTATTACACTAGAGATTAGGTTTCAACATATGAATTTGGGTGGGTGGGGAACACAAGCATTCAGGCCATATCACTATTCTAACATTCAATCTCCATCTAGTGACCAAGGTAAAAAATCTGTATCATGCTTCACACAGCATGCTGCTACTTAATGCACATTAAAGAATATTATGAATTGTAAAATATTGCTCAGTCGTTATGTGCAACTTTTTCAAATACCACTCTAATTAGTGTGACCCACAAATAGAACACAAAGAGAAGAAAGAAAATGGATGCATGGCACTGCTGGGAAACAATCCTTCATTATGCAAGAATCTATTGCATTCATGTTATCTGAGAGGAAGGATTTGACAAGTTAATTTGTCTTTTCTCTTACCTAAGGCCCCTGCCACTCAAATCCAAAGGGTTCTGTCTCCCACACAGGCAGCACACACATACACACAGTTCATTTTGTTTCAAAGACACTGGGCACACACAAGCTGCAAAGAAGCATTACCCAGGGACTCGACGAGAAGTCACTGTGAGAAGGGATGTTTAGGATAATGTCATGCTGTTTCCATGCTAAGGACAGAATACAAAGTGGCAAAGGCACAGATGTTTTTAAAATAAATGTGCAGGCCCAGGGATTTAGCTCAGTGGTTCAGTCACCTGCCTTGCAAGCCCAAGGTCCCCAGTTCGATCCCCAGTACCAAAAAAATAAATAAGTAATAAAATAAAATAAATGCCCATTTGTGATATAATGTCTTATAAAGCTCTGTACCCAGAGAAGGGCCTCTCTTGCTTTTCATCTAAAGGTAGTATTTCCAGGACGGTAAGAATGAATTGGTATGAAAACCTGGAGCTTAGGTAGAATCATCTTGGAAGTAGAACTAAGAAGCACAGTTGAGTACAGAATATCTTCTCTGTAACTCAAATGTGTAAGTAGTATACTGTGGTCCTGAGTCTTAGACTAATTAAGTCCAGTTGTTTGGCTTCTCTTAGATAAGAGACTTTGTCAGCCCATAAAGCTACAGATGAAGGCTGGAGATGTAGCTCATTAGAAGTCCACTTGAGTAATGTGTGAGGTCCTGAGTTCAATCCTCAATATTGCAAAAAAAAAAGAAAGAAAAAGGAGAGCGTAGATGATTGAAATATTTTAGAAACTAAACATTTTAAGGTCAGTGTGGTGATGCACACCTGTGATCCCAGCACTCAGGAGACTGATTTATAAGGATCATGAGTTGGAGGCCAGCCTGGACTACATAGCAAGACCCTGTCTCAAACAAAAACAAAAAATAAAAAATAAAACCAAACAAAAAAAACAAAGCAAGCAAAAATTAAACATATTAATGTACTTAATGCATTGAATTTGCGGCTTTAATTTGAAATACTGATATTTCAAAATGTCTATCAAAGTGCTCCATGCTTTGAAATATAGTTTACATCTCATATTTTAAAAAGTAGAATGATGATTTAAGGTTTATAATAAGCAAACAATAGTTCCCCATTAGTTTTATTTTTTTTTTGGTATTGGGGACCCCATTAGTTCTAGTACCAAGCACATTTTTTATTTTAGTTCTTCATCCTGTCTCAAAAAAAAAAAAAGAAACAAAACAAAATAAAAATTAGGCATATGCACCCATATGGTAAATGAGAAAATACAATTTTTAACTGGCTTATTATAATCACAATGTAATAATGTAGAAGCTCATGTATAGAATGTATAAAAATTATATATATGAGGGTGTTTGCACTAAAAAATGTTTTATTTGTGGTATAAATGGTTAGAAACATTTGTAGGATACTGTGGTAGACCAAAGGGAAGTTGTGCCGGGCATGATGGTGCATCCTTGGTAATGCCAGCACTAAGGAGGCTGAGGAAGGAGAATTACCCAAGTTTGAGGTCAGCCTGATCTACATAGTGAGTTCAAGGCCACCCTGAACTACAAAGTGAGAACCTATTTTAAAAAATAAAAACTCTGAAAACCAAGGGCATAGGTTTTCAGAGCCTGAATAAAAACTACTGCTAATTATTAAGAATCTCCATGTGCAGGACACTGTATGACTGGTTTATTTCTGTGTGTTATTTCATTTAATCTTCACAACAGTCCTAAAAGTGCTATTATTATTCCCATTCTTTTTATTCCCACCATGCCCATTTTATAGATGAAGAAACAGAGACTTAAGCAGCTAAGGAAATTGTGCAAGATCACATGGCTAGGAAATGGTTTAAGGAACTTAAATCCCAAACTTTTTGTTCAAAGGCCAATTTTTTTTTTTTTTTTTTGGTACCGGAGATCGAACTCGGGTCCTTGTGCTTGCACAGGAGGCAGCGAAACCACTGAGCTAAATCCCTGGCCAAACCACTGAGACTTTTAGGGTATTATTGCCCCCTTGCCTAAAAGCTAGCTGATAACAGCATCTGTAGTGGTGTGATTCTTGGAAAGCTCCTTGATAACTTAGTATTGTGCAAATCATGATTGGTGAGAACTTCTATTATTTTTTACCATCCCCAAACACATATTCATGGCTATTTACACAAAAATGACTGAAGATCTGCAGAGAAGACAATGAATCTGCTAGGGGCATATCTTTGGCATTCAAACAGCTGAACACCAATTCTTATATTAATAGCTACAGAAATATATTTTCTTAAGGGCAACTAGAGAATTTTAAGATTCTGTTGTTCATCGAGAAACATAAGTGAGCCACTGCTCCCAATTGAGAATGTGTATATTCTTGTAAGTTGTTGCTGAACAGTATCAGAAACTGAGATCTATAAGACCACTTGCCTTAGTTATTATCTCATTGCTGAGACAAAATACCCAACACCAAAGTTAAAAAGGGAAAGGTTTATTTAGCTTACAGTTTGTAGAGGATTCAGTCCATAATTGGTTGGCTCCAAGGCAGGGTGGCACATGGCAGAGGGGTAATAGTTCATGGTGGACCAAAGGCAGCAAAGCAACATGGGACCTTAATATCGTCTTTCTACGCCTTTTATCTTATCCAGACTACCAGAATTAGGGCAGTGTCAAACCAATCAGTGGACTGATTTAGTAATCACATACCCTTAATCCCAGTGTCACACACTCTAGATTCAGCCATCTCTGAAAAAGCTTTGAGTGGACATCTAGGCACAAACCATAACATTCCACCTCTGGGCCCCCAAAGACTCATGCATATCCCTTTATGTAAAAGGCATTGAGTCCAGCTCTAGGAGTTGCCAAAGTCCTAACATTTTCAGGACTGCTGAAAATTCCAAGTCCAAAGTCTCCTCTCAGATTTAAGGCAGACTCTTAGCTGCAAGCCCTCGTACAAATGAAAAGAAAGTTAAACACTTCCAACATTTTTTTTTTTGGTACCGGGGATTGAACTCAGGACCTTGCGCTTGGGAGGCAGGCTCAGTGCCACTGAGCTAAATCCCCGGCCCTACACTTCCAACATTTAATGGCACAATATAGACATTTCCATTCCAAAATGGGGATACAAAGGAATGGGACCAAAGCAAATCCAAAATCCAGCAGGGCAAACATGAAACCCCATCGCTCCACTTCTAGCATCCCTGGCAAACTGTGGAAAATTGTAAACACCAAAGGGCTTGGGTGGCTCCGCCTCTATGGCACTCCCCATGGTTGTAGCTTCCATGGCTTCTCTCTGCAGCTGGCTCTGCTCCTTCCTTTCAGTATTTCTCAAACGATCCACATTTCTGGCTTCTCCAAACTTCTGGGGTCTCCACTGCAGCTTCGGCTTCATACTCACAGCTTCACACACTGCCCTCTCAGGGGCACGGTGACTCCCTGGCCTCCCAGGCCTTCTTCTGAAATCTGGGTAGAAGCCTTCCTGACCCCACAACTCTTCCATTCTACGTCCACCTAAAACCAACACCATGTGGATAATGCCAAAGTCTGTTGCCAGCTGGAGTAATCACCAGGCTTCCTTCTCTCTTGGCTGTTGGGGTCCAGTGCCTATGAACCATCTCCCTGAAGAACAAATTTCCCAGGCTGTTGCCATTATGGAACACGGTGCTCTGAGGCTCTCTTCTCAAAGCAGTCTTTCACTTTTGCAATTTTGAGGGTGCAAAGGGTGGAGTCCCTGCTGCTTCTCATGATGCCCTCAGGCCATTTTTTCTTTTCTCCTGTTCTTTCTCAGCCATCAAGATCTCCTCTGTTCTATCTTTGCAGGCCGAAAATTTACCGGAGCTTCTTTTCTGGTCAAACGCAAAACATTTTAAATCATTCTGCTGGGGTCTTTGGTCTTGATTCTCAACCACTATCTGGCTAAAATCCCGCAACACTAGCCATGCCACTGCCTCAACATTAGACTGCCGTGAAATTTCTTCTGCCAGGTTAATTAGTCTACTGCCCCTAGTCTCAGTCTCAGGCACAGTCTCTGGACAGGAGCAAAATGCAGACAAACTTTCTGCCAAGGCATAACACACATTGTTGAGTCCAGCAACCAATGCAGTCCTTTTTCCCATTAGAAACCTCCTGGGCCTGGTCTTTACTGGCAAGATTTCTATCAACCTTCTGGTTTTCTGAGCTCTGACTAGATTCTCCCATACAGTACAGCCTAAGGCATTCCAGCTCTACTTTTTCAGCCAGCATCTCTGAACCTTTCCTAGCTCTTCCCACAAGCCTGTTCCAAAGGCTCTTGAGCCACATGGCCAGGTAATATCACAGCAATGACCCACTCCTCTGGTACCCAATTTCTGTCTTAGTTACTTTTCTCGTTGCTGAGACAAAATACCCAGCACTCAAAATTAAAAGGGGAAAGGTTTCTTTACCTCAGTTTGTAGAGGATTCAGTCCATAATTGGCTGGCTCCAAGGCAGGGTGGCACCTGACAGAGGGACAACAGTTCATGGTGACCAAAGGTAGCAAAGGAACAAGGGACCAAAGCACCTTTCTGCCCCTTTTATCTTATCCAGACTACTGGGATTAGGGCAATGCCAAACTAATCAATGGACTGATTGAGTAATCACATATCCTTAATCCCAGTGTCACACACTCTAGACTCAGTCACTTCTGAAAAAGCCCTGTGACTACATGAGACTTTGGGGGAACATCTAGACACAAGCCACAACACCACATGGAAGATATTGAAACTTGGTTTCACCGCTAACTAGAGAAACTGAAACTGGAATCATGTTTTGCCAGCAAAGTTCCACTCTGACTATGATAATTAACTACTGCTAGTGTTCAATATTGTATTAATTGTTAACAATGAAAACTTCAAAAAATATATCCATGTTGGCCCAGTGTGAACTGATGAAACTGTTCTGTTGTGGGCAGAGGAAGAGGCTATACTTCTATAGAAAAGAGAGGAAAAGCCTCTAAAGGCAAACATTTACACTCAGTCATTTCCAAGACAAGAAATGGATACTTAGATCCAAGGGAAAAATTTTTCCTTCCTTGGAGTTTGGATTCTAAGAAAAGCAGCCATTAATTTGGAGAGAACTGATGAAGCAGAGTAGCCCTGGGCCATATGGAGCAGGATGGGACGTGAATCTGGCTGTAGACTGCAGAGATATGCACACCTAGTAGTGTCTTGCGGCCATTGGGGACCAGCACCAGCCTGAAAAAGAATGATTTCAAAACATTAACAGATATTTATTGTTATGGTTTATATCTAGATGTCCCCCAAAGCCCTATGCGCTCACAGGTAGGGCTTTTGAGAGGTGACTGGATCATGGGGGTGTGATAATCATCAGTGGATTAGTCCACTATGAGTTTATAGCTAACCAGGGTGTAGGTAAGTAGAGCCTGGTTGGAGGAGGTGGGTCACTGAGGGTACGGCTGGAATGGTCTATCTCCCTGCTTCCTGCCACCTTGCCATGAAAGTACTTTTCTCCTCTGCTATGCCATCCTGCCTTACAGTCAATGGACTATGGGCTGAAATCTTTACACACTGTGACCGGACTTTAAATTGTGGGTGTATTGTGGGTATATCATGTCTCAGCAATGAAGAAAGTAACTAAGACATTAATTTATAGAAATTGTTACGGACTATTGTATACAACATTACTTCAGTGGAAGAATGGTCACAGGAAAAAAAAAAAAAAAAAAGCATGGTCACAGGAACCTGCACTCTTACAATGCTTGACAATTTTTACTGTAGACAACAGAAAAAGGCAACCAACTGAAGCAGAACAATACCTCCACTTCTGGGCTGGACGGACATTGGAAGAGTTTATTGCCACCAGCCCTCAGTACTTAATCACTGAGATAGTGGGGAATAGGTACCAGCTGGTGAAGCACATGTAAGCATGTAAATGTATCTTTTGTAATAAATCATTTTAAGAGCTGTTTTCTAATAAAATTATATCCTCTTGTGATCAATAATGAGACAATAAAGATGGAAAGAATTAGCTAAAACTCAAGAAGATAAAAGAATGAGGGAGGCCAGTCCCAAAATACAATTACCAAGACTCTATTATTAGGTGACTTATTTGGGCTTTAAAAGTGGCTGTTTTTTATCATACAGTGCAATGAAAACTAATCCTTGTACCCACTGTGTCTATCCACTGACAGCAACATGAAGAAGTTTCCATAGAAACAACATTCTGCTCACCTACCATCCCACCTTTCTCAAAGAAATAGTCAATACTATTCATTTTAACAGAGAATATACTGGTAATAAATGAAGTTAAGGAAATCTGTCCTTAATGTAATTTACTAGGAAGATGAGACACATATAAATGAAACAAAAAGATGTATACTATTTCCTTCCTTTTCAGAAAATATCATGAAAACAAGCAGCATAAGGAAACAGAATCCTGGAGGGAACTCTTCCTGGAAGAAAACTCCTGTACACAGTAGAATCAAGTATTACTAATCTCTGTAAAGCATGTCTTTATATATAACAGTATAAATAACAGATTTATCTCCAGGGAAGACAGTAAAGACTGGCACAACAAATGTTGAAGAGGAATGTTCAGGTTAGGAGAGCCACATTTAGGTGCAAATGACTCTTGGACTCCCACCTCCAGTAGTGACTCTGAGGAATGGTACTGGAGAGTGACTTTGCTGATTGTGTCGTGAGGGAGTCTCCCTCTTCCTCTGTATCAATTCTTAAAAGTGTCACTGAATTATAATTTGCATACCATATAATTATTGGTACAATTCCATAGTTTTTTAGTATATTCACAGAATTATGAGCAAGGCATGGTGGCATATGCCTGTAATCTGAGCACTTGGGAGGCCGAGGCAGGAAGATGTCAAGTTCAAGGTCGGCTTAGGCTATAAATTAAAGGCTAGCCAGAACTACAGAGCAAAACCCTGTCTCAAAAAAACAAAATAAAACAAAACAACAACAACAATAAAACAAATTGTGTAACTATCACCACAGGTATAAAGTTTCAAGAGTATAGCAAATTTCTAGAAAAACTGGGTCTTGTGATGTCTACCCTTATAGTAATTCTGAATTTCTTTCTCATTTTTTTTCCAGTGTAATCATTTCCAGAGTAAAGTATAGTGCTAACACTAGTATATATTTGATTGAAGAGAATGCTTTGTAGAAGTTTCTTTTTAGATGGGTGTGATGGCGCACGCCTGTGATCCCAGTGCTTAGGAGGCTGAAGCAGGAGGACTGCTGTGAGTTCCAGGCCAGCATGGCCTACATAGTGAGTTCAAGGCCAGCCTGAGCTAATACCGAGACCCTGTTTCAAAAAAAAAAATTTTTTTTAAATTAGCAGGGTGTAGTGGTGCATACCTGTACTTTCAGCACTAGGAGGATAGGGCAGGAGAATCACAAGGCTGAGCTCAGCCTAGGCAAGATTCTATCTCAAATAACAAATCAAAATGGAGGGCTGGGGATTTAGCTCAGTGGTTCCACTGCCTGCTTCACAAGCACAAGGTCCTGAGTTCAATCCTCGGTACCAAAAAAAAATCAAAATGGACTGTGGATATAGCTCATTGTGAAGGCCTTGGGTTCAATTCCCAGTACTACACACACACACACACACAAGTTCCTTTTAGGGGAAGTAACTTCATAAACAGCAAGTGTTGGAAGTAAGGTGGCTCCTAAAAATGAACCCCCTAAAGTCCACATGTAATAAATTAGCTGGTTGTGGGAGCAAGCCGGTGAATGTATAACTGAGAAGTTTAGAAACCTGCCCTTGGCTTCAAACTCCAATTAAGATGAGACTGTAACCTCAGAAACCAAAACCCGAAGTGACTGTAATTCAGTCAGCAGAAACCTAACAATCTAATACATTGTTTAGAGGAAGTTTGTGTGTAGATTAGCCTATGGGAAGAGAATTGCCAATCCTTACCAAGTACTGTCCAGAGAACAGACACAAAATGCAGGGAGTGTAAATGTTCCCTTTTGGAGATGTGTACTCTGTTCTGGGGCAGCAATCCTTCACCAAGTCTCCCCATAATCCAAATGGAATAGTCTTCAAAATAATCCTACTCATTTTGTTCCGATTCACAAATAGTATAGTTTAGTTGTTTTTGTTTCCCCTCTCCTTTAAGCTTGTAGACTGAAATATGTTAATCAACTTGGGGACACTGATATCAATAAGGTTGCACACTTTTTTGGGGGGGGTACCAGGGATAGAACTTGGGACCTTGTGCTTTTGAACCAGGCGGTAGAACCACTGAGCTAAATCCCCAGCCCAATTAAGATTGTATTTAACTGTAATAACCATCAAGCTAATAGCATCATGAAGCCTCGGTATATATTCAATTCTTTTTTTTTTTTTTGAAGCTTCGTAGTTCAGGCTGGCCCTGAACTCACTATGTAGCCCAGGCTGGACTCAAACTCGCAGCGATCCTCCTGCCTCAGCCTCCAGAGCGCTGGGATTGCAGGCGTGCACTACCACGCCCAGCTTTCCATTCTTTGATCGGATGAGCATCCAATTTAAAACATGCCTGGGAGACCCTGATAAACAGAGATCTAGACTCTTCTTGCCACAAGTGATCCCATCCTCAATGCCAGGACCCACCCTTTGATTACATTCAAATACAAAACAAGATTTAGGGATTTAGCCAGGGATTTAGCTCAGTGGTTTTGCAGCCTGCCTTGGAAGTGGAAGGTCCCGAGTTGATCTCTGGTACCAAAAAAGAAAAAGAAAAAGAAAAAAATGTTTAATAAAAGGAATGTTTAAAAAAAAAAAAAGACCAAAAGAGAAACAAGAGTATTCTATTCACTCTATATGAAGTTCTAACTTGTATTTCTTTGAACTGAACAGAATTGGAAATTATTGCATTAAATTAGGCAGACAAGAACAAATCAAAGTGAATTTATGGTTTTCTTATTTTTCTAGAATAAAAATGGCTTGAAATTAAAAGTACCTAGGTTAAACCACCTCAGTTAGCATTGACTTAATACTAACCACCTAAAGAGCTTGAAGCAATCTAAATCAATGGCTAAAAGTTAGATCAGAGCAGGTCATGATAGCGCACATCTGTAGCCTCAGCACTCAGGAGGTGGAGGCAGGAGGTTCATCGTGATTTCATAGTGAGGTCCTGTATCAAAAAAAAAAAAAGAGAGAAATCAAATCGAATTTGCACTTGGGGTCATTAAGAGACATTTGTAAAATACATTTCAAACAACTTATTCATTTAGAGACAGGGTCTCACCATGTAGTTCAGGCTGCTGCGGGGGTCTTTTGGTTTTTTTGCTTTGTTTTGAGACAGGGTCTCACTATGTAGTTCAGGCTGGGCTCCAATTTGCCACAATCTTCCTGCCACTGCCTCCAGAGTGCTGAGGTTATAGGCATGCACCACCATGCCTAGCCAGCCACTTTGGATTTTGAATACACTTATCCTTTTTATTTTTTTATTTTTGGTACCAGGGATCCAACTTGGGACCTTTCGATTGTGAGGCAGGCACTGGAACCACTGAGGTAAATCCCTGGCCCTCTTTTTATTTTTTTTGAGACATGTGATTGAACCCAGGACCTTTACACCTTTATACTGAGCTACGTCTAGAGCCCCCTTTTGAATTTTTTTTTTTGTGGTACTGGGGATCGAACTTGGGTCCTTGGGCTTTCGAGGCAGGCAACAGAGCCACTGAGCTAAATCCCTGGCCCATGCTCCCCCTTTTGAATTTTGACACAGGGGCCAGGAGAAAAGGGAAATGGGACACACAAAAAATTAAAATGTATTATGTATATGTACCAATTCCCCATAAGACAGATAAACAGCATGTACTACAAACAGATACTAATAAAAATATAAATAAATAATAAATAAATTTTGAGACAGTCATGCTAGGTTCACACTGAAATCTCCCTAGCTCAGACTCCCAGAGTACTGGGATTACAGGTGTGTTGTAGTCCCTTCTCTACTGTGACTTCTGGGAAGAACACAATCAAATTTGCATCGGGCTGGGGATTTAGCTCAGTGGTTCTGCCGCCTGCCTCCCAAGCCTAAGTTTCCAAGTTCAATCCTCGGTACCAAAAAAAAAAATTGCATCCATCTCTAGAAATTCATCAGATGCTCACTGCAGACATTTACGCATCACTTAATTTCTATCCCCGCAACCCTTATTTTCCCGTTGCCCCTTATCTCTTCATCTAGTTTTAATGTTTTGTAGTATCTCAATAAGCTCCCTCACATTTGTGGGGAGAGGAATTATGATAATACATAACATGGAGAAAATCATCCTTACATTCTGGGTGCAGATCTGGTTCAGCATATTTATAATAATATTATTATTACTTGGGGCTTTTGAGAAAGGGTCTCACTTATGTAATTCAGGCTGATCTTGAACTCACTATGTAGCCTAGGTTGGCCTCAAACTCATGATGATCCTCCTGCCTCAGCCTCCCCAGTGCTAGGACCACAGGTGTGTGCCACCACACCTGGCTAATTTAGCATATTTATAGTTGCAGAGTTTGGTGGTGTTTTAAATTTGAATTCATCACTAATATTTTTTATTTATTCTATTTAATTAATTTATTTGGTTCTTTTGAGACAGGGTCTCCCTATGTAGTTCACGCTGCCCTTGAACTCAGTATGGAGCCTAGGCTGGCCTCGAACTTGTGGCAATCCTTCCGCCTCTGCCTCTCCAGTGCTGGGATTACAAGCGACACTATGCTTCGTTGTCATCACCAACATTTAAAACTCCCACGATGACCCGGGGATTTAGCTCAGTGGTGCCACCACCTGTCCTGCAAGCGCAAGGACTCGAGTTCGATCCCGGGTACCAAAATAAATAAATAAATAAATAAATAAATATCCCATGATTTCACACACGAGGCCACATACTGTATTCGACGCCAAGCACCCAACAAAACCAAACCATGATTTCACCTAAGAATCCAAATTTCATCTCTGGAAAAAAGTGAGAGAAGGTGTTACTTCCCTAAGCCATCAAGCAAGCAACCGCGGTCTCCAGAGACTTTGGTTGTCACATCCAGTTTGCTCATTTGTATTATTACCTGAGAGGCCCGATAATGACTCTAAAATTCTCGTATAAAAGTAGCTTTTGGGCTGGGGATTTAGCTCAGTGGTTCCTGCGCCTGCCTTGCAGGCGCAAGTTCCCGAGTTCGACCCCCAGTACCAAAAAAAAAATGTAACTTTTGAAAGAAAAGGTTAACTTCAGAATTCTGCACACACACCGCTTTCTCATTCTTTGAAAGAATAGGAGCGATTCATTCTTCTTGCGCTGAGTCCAGAGATAGTCAATTAGGAGAGAAGCAAAGGTGTGGTCTCGAGGGCAGTACGGTGTTGTCATCCCTTCTGGCTGGGGAGGAAGCTACAGTTATGCCCTGCCTTTCAACTGAATCACCTGCAACTTAGATTCCGGATTTGAAGCAGTAGCAGAACTTGCCCTGGTTTCAGGAGCAACAGCCCGGCTCCTCCCCGTTAGTTCCGCCCCCGGAGCCTGTCCCGCCCCCGGAGCCTTTCCCGCCAAAGGCCGTTAACGGCGCTGAGCATGGCGGGATAGGGCTCTAGGCTAGGTTTCACCAAGTCTTTTCAAGCCACCGAGTTGCTTTCGAAAAGGGTCATTCTTGGGGAAATTATCTTTGATGATCCCATAGGCATTGACAGCCCCTTTCACGAGGGTTCTGTATTTAATTTTTACCAAATAGCTGTTCACTTTACTATCCAAATACTCCACAAAGCTAAGACGAGGGACTTTTTTTTCCTCCTTCGTGCGGAGGGTGACGTCGTGCGTGCGTAAACGCACTTCAACATCCGTTAAGCGCATGCGCATGCGCACTGAGCCCGAACACGCGCTTCCTTTCGCTTCTTCCCCCCCCCCCGTATCCGTGCGCCGAGCAGATAAAGGCGCCATTTTGGAGAGGCCACGGGAGACGTGGTGCCGCTGCGGGTTCGCTCTGCTGTGCGCTAGGCTTGGTGGGAAGGCCCGTTCTCGAGTCCGCGCTTTTCGTCGCCGCCATGTCGGGAGGTGGTGTGATTCGTGGTCCGGCAGGGAACAACGACTGCCGTATCTACGTGGGAAACTTACCTCCAGATATCCGAACCAAGGACATTGAGGACGTGTTTTATAAATACGGCGCTATCCGCGACATCGATCTCAAGAATCGCCGCGGGGGACCGCCCTTCGCCTTCGTAG